CTAAGGTGAAATACCCATTTGGTTCTCGCATGGAACTATTGGGAGGGGGGTTTTCGACATGGTCATGACTTACACCCGTCTACGCTGTAAATTAGTCAGGTTGGCGTTATACGGCTGCTTTTTTCTACTAGATGAAACATGGCATATGTTCTTTATCAAGACGACGGCGAACGGGGGACGAGAGGGTGCTGGCTTTTGGTTTCTATTCTAGCCTCTGGCTACGTAGGCATGGCGTTTATGTGCCGGCCTGGCTCTCCTGTTGAGGGTCTGATGAGTAACCTCGTAGCTTACAGGACATAGTCGCATTATTAATCGTCGACGAGCAGCCGCGTCACGTAGCTGACTAGGACATACATAGTATGAATGGCATTCTTCAATTCTCATCAACTCTCACCAAGCTAGTGTCTGAACCTTATCGAACAGAGCGACGGCAAAAAGTAAAATGATAAATCAAGCACACTCGGTGGGGGAGCGAAGAGCAAAGAGGAGGGTGCAAGAAAAGAGCATGCTTGGAGCAAGAAAAGAGCATGGGGTTGCTTGGAGCTAGCCCCCACAGCCATGTCTTGGAACCAAGCGAATCGCGTGTCAAGTGAGGACGGGAAATGTGGAGTCGCCAATGCAACAGGCAGGGAGGGGATAGAGGAGAGATTTTATACAAGTGCCATGTGCCATTGGATTTCTGCTCAGGGCCTGTAAATCCGACTTCGGGGCGGACAGCTGGATACTCCCCTTCTTCCTTCTAATTCCAAGACGATGAGTAAGGGGTGACTCCGGCGTTTCTTTACTCCCACCCGGCGCTATGTCGTCCCTGTAAACGGCCCGGGCGAGACCGGCCAGGAGAATAAGAGCTGGCTCTTCTCAGCGAACAAGCCCATTTTCACATCTCATTGTGCCAGCCCTGGCTTATCTCGTTTCGATGCCCATGAAACACAGTTCGAGGGTCCAGAACGTGCCTTGGGGGTCACCAATTGGATCTGCAGAAATACTTTCTTCTTTTCATCCTAGTGCGGGTCTTCACTGGGTCGGCAATCCGGGACTCCAGCAAAACCCCCCCCTCCCCCCGCCAATACCCCTCGACTACCCCAAGGGCCAAGACAAGGCACCGCAGTCGCCGCAATCACAGCTGTTGCACGCATATCAAATGCCGCCTCTCTGATCCGCCCGGTGTTTGGGTAGATTTCTTTCGCTGCGTCAACTCGCATCTTTTTGCCGCCATTCTCCTTCTTCCTCCGGCTTAGTCGGCCTGCAGCCCAGGCACTGTACAGGAGCCGAAAGGTACCGACGGAACGCTTTCGTCAGCGGATGCGACTGCGACCTCGACTGCGACTGCCGCGACGACGCTGAGCGAGACGCTGAGCGAGACGCTGGCCCGCCGGGAGCCTGAGCCCTGAACTTGCGAGAGATCGCCGTGTTATTTCCCACATGCACGACGTCGAAGACGGATCCGGCCCACTGAAGGCATTATCTCGTATCTCGCTCCTGCGTCCATAACTCGCACCTGATTGACGCCACCTATCCGCCCCCCCAGGCAGCCCTACAAGAGGCACTGCGTCCTGCGGACTGGCTCTGTCCATACAATTACCCCTCCTGGCCCCGCCGTTTTTCTTGGTTCTGGGCCTTGTACCTTGGAGATTTGCTTTGCGCCGGCACCCCACCATATCTGTCGGATCCAGCATCCTGACTAGGGCCGCTAATTCTCCACAGTGAGTGCCCGGTCATCGCCGCCCCGGCTCCGATCCAGCATTCCTGCCTCGCGCCGAGTTGGTATTCACTCTCACGTGGCTACCATGGACGACCACGACGCCCAACTCCCTCTCACCCTCGATGGCACGTCGCCGCCGTCCAAGAAGAAGGCACGCCGCGGCGCCGACTCCGCCAGCCAGAAGCGCCGGTGCGTGAGCACTGCCTGCATCGCCTGCCGGAAGAGAAAGTCCAAGTGCGATGGCGCCCTTCCGAGCTGCGCCGCCTGCGCCAGCGTCTACGGGACTGAGTGTGTCTATGATCCCAACTCAGACCACCGCCGGAAGGGCGTGTATCGTGAGAAGATCGACAGCATGAAGGCCCGGAACTCGACTCTTCAGGTTCTGATCGAGGCCATATTAAATGCTAACGAGGACGACGTGCCGGAAATTGTAAAACAGATCCGCACTTGTGACAGCCTCGACACCGTCGCCGAGTCTATCCTCAAGAATGAGTTTGTAGGCGGCGCAGACGACGACGAGGCCGACGATGACAACGAGATAGTCGAGGAATGCCCCGGAACTGACCTACCTGTCGAGGGCGAGAGGGACCTGGCTCGCAAGATGGGCGAGCTCCGTCTCGAAAACGGCTCGGTCCGCTTCATCGGAGGCACCTCGCATTTGATATACCTAGGGGAACCAGCCAACATCCCAGACGAGCCAGAGTCGGATAACAGGTATTTATCGGGCGAGGATCCCATCATCAGCTGGTCCGAGGTCGCCAAGGACACCCAACTAGTCATCCACCTAATCAACATGTATTTCGCTTGGCATTACCCTTATTTCACCACGCTTTCCAAGACCCTATTTTATCGCGACTTTCTGAAAGGGAAGCCGGCAGGCCAGCCGCGGTCCACCGTGTACTGCTCTTCGCTTCTCGTCAATGCCATGCTCGCCTTGGGATGTCACTTTACGAGCGTCAGCGGCGCCTTTGCAGCCCCCGGTGACAGCAGGACCAAGGGCGATCACTTCTTCGCCGAAGCAAAGAGGCTAATCGTCGAAAATGACGAGTATGAAAAGCCGAAACTCACCACCGTTCAGGCTTTAGCGCTCATGTCGGTTCGCGAGGCGGGGTGTGGACGTGAGGCGAAGGGTTGGGTGTACAGTGGAATGAGCTTCCGGATGGCCCAGGATATGGGTCTTAATCTCGACATCGGAGGTGTTGGGAGGGGGAAAGGCTCGCTCGATGAGAAGGAAATCGACGCCCGCAGAATCACGTTCTGGGGTTGCTTCCTATTCGACAAATGCTGGTCCAATTACCTCGGCCGGTTACCACAACTTCCCAAGAACAGTTACAATGTTCCCAAATATGATGTGTTCCCCGACGAGGATTCCGAGCTGTGGTCGCCCTATACCGACGGCGGCTTTGACCAGTCGTCAAAGCAGCCTTCCCGGACGAGAGCCGCCAGCCTGCAGCTGTCTAAACTCTGCGAGATCAGCAGCGATCTGCTACTCTTCTTCTACCACCCCAATCACATCGGTCGGTCTAGTGGCAAATCCGTTGAGCTCAAGAAGCTCAGCGAACTCCATCGTCGTCTAGAGGATTGGAAAAAAGAGCTGCCGAAAGAGTTTGAGCCAAGGGAAGGGCAGCTGCCGAATGTGATTTTAACACAGTATGTATAACGTGTTGTCTCGCAGCGCGTAACGGTACACGACTCTGACCAAGCAATAGTATGTTTTACCACCTGCAGTATATCCACCTATTCCGGCCATTCCTCAAATACGCGCCGGCGTCCTCGCCCTTGCCGGCCCACGTCTCGCCTCGACGAATCTGTACAGCGAATGCCGGCGCAATCTCTAAGCTTATGCGACTTTACAAGAAGACTTACAATCTGAGGCAGATTTGCAACATTGCCGTATACATGGTTCACTCGGCCTGTACGATACATATGCTTAACTTGCCGGAAAAAACGGCGAAGCGGGATGTTATCCACGGCGTTAAACACCTCGAAGAAATAGCCGAGGATTGGCCCTGCGCACGGAGGACACTGTCCATCGTGAGTGTCCTCGCTCGCAAGTGGAACGTCGAGATGCCCGAAGAAGCCTCGGCCGTGTTACAACGGACCGATGAAAAGTATGGTACATTCAGTACATCTGATGTGCCATCGCCAAATCGATCAGGGACATCCTTGACGCCGCCGTCGTTCCCCGGGTCACCACACCCTCTCTCAAAAGCAGAACAATACAGTCAGTACAGCCAACCGACCTCCCCACAACTCAACTTCGACGCACCAGCGCCGAGCATGTCGCCCGACATTCTCGGCGGTCTCGCCCTGTCAGGCGCGCCCTCGCAGAGTATAGGGAATGTGCAACCTCAGCTCTCGGACCAGCAAATGTCGCAACTCGTCAGCGGGCCGCCCATGTCCATGAGCGATGCCCTGTCGGCCTGGGCTGCCATACCAACAGTAACGCAGCAGCCAATGGGGGGCTATACGCAATCCTTCAGCCCTCTCCACCAAAACAGCAATACAAACGGCCTGTCGCCACAAGGAGCCGCATCCCGGCCGTCAGCAACGGGACCGCGCCAGGTCAGCCCCAGCTCCAACTCGCTGTATGCCATTGACGGCCAGGACTGGTACCTCAAGGATGGCGTCAACTGGCAGCAGCACTTTGAGACGTGGAACAACTTGCCCTCGGCGGGGACGGGAAATCATAACTCGCCCAGTGTCAGTTCTGCCGGTGGTGGCATGGCGAACCCGGCCTCGTCTATGTTCATGTTCCAGGGGCTGAGGGGGGATGCGATTGATACGACGTTTGATTCGTTTGGGTCGATGGGGAATTTGGACAACCTCCCGGGGCTTGATTAGTTCGTCCGGCGCGAGGGCGGGTGTGTAATGTGGTTCTTGGATGGCTTCGGAGGGAGTCTTGGGTAGGTTCCTACCTAGGGTTGGTCGTGATTTTTTGGAAACCAAAAACAATCGGGAGGGGGGTGGGGTTCTGACTTGTATTTTTTTCTGCCCTTGCCGCACATATTCAGGGGGCAACTTGCGTTAGCATGTCTTGAGATATCATGATTTGACCTGAGCGAAAGCTGTTTACTTTGTAGCATTCGTGATTACCCTGACAGAGCTGGATAGAGTTAATGATGGGGAGGGGGGTGGATGAGAGAAACTCGCAACACAACAACGCTTCTCACAATTGTTTGGTGCCATGTGGTTACTCCCTCGGTGGTGACAAAAGGTGATTATCGACTTGACGGACTGTCACCCGAGTGTTGAATGGGTATCAAAAAGCCGATTCATGATGCTATCATGAATGGAGCACTCCCGGTGGGACTCGAACCCACAACCTTATGATGAATTCAAGACAGAATATTCTATAGAAGTCAACCGCTCTCCCATTGAGTTACGGGAGCTGATGCACTGAAGAGACTCGGGGTAGATATTCCCATCTATCTAGAGGACAGATCCCCTTCGCCACCACCGTGCCCATCCCCCTCAACCCAACGGAACACACAAACAATCCATACAAATCCCCTCCCCCTCCCCCTTCACCCCCCCTCCTCGGCCTCCATAGCCCTCAACACCCCCCTAAACACCTCGGCTTCCCTCTCCATCTCCTCCATCGACCTTGGCCTCCTCTCGGCATCCTCAATGCGCGGGAACTCGCCCCCGGGCCGCGGCCGCTCCCCTCCTACTACCTTCCTCTCGGCATCCCACAGCCACCCGCCCACGTTCCCATCCTCGTCCGCCATGCGCTCATACAGCTCGTCGGAGGGCGTCTCGGCGTCCTTGGCAGTCGACCCGCGAATGCGCGGGATCACGTGCACGTGGACGTGGGGCACGGTCTGGCCGGCCTCGGGGCCGTCCTGGAGGGCGATGTTGAAGGATCCGGCGCTGCCATTGTCGGGTGGCGGAGAGGAGGGGAAGTAATGCCGGGCTAGCATGCGCTGCACGCGCTGCACGGCGCAGAAGAGGTCTGTCAGCTCGGGCGGGGAGAGCTCGGTGAGGCGGCGGTGCGGGCGTGTGGGGCACACGAGGACGTGACCTGGCAGGAGGGGTTTGAGGTTGACGAGGGCGAAGGAGTGCGGGGTGGTGAGGAAGACCTTTGGGGGGGGGGGGGGGGGGTTGGTTATTTGTCGTGGGTAAGGTTAGGATGGGGGCAGGGAGGGTTACTTGGTTTGTGACTTCAAAGGGCCCAAAGTAGACGGGCGGCGTTGCTGTTGAGCTGCTCATTCTCCGCCCGACGCTTTTTGAGGTTGTGGACGCGGAAGCGATGGTGGTGTTGCTGATTCTGCGTGTGCTAGTCTTGAGCATGCTTTTTGATTTGGGTGGTGATGAATATTGTGAGATTTGGTAGATCTTTTTCCTAGACTAAGTTGCCGTGTATATGCGACCCAAAGAGACTGGGTGACGTCGGGAGCAAACCGTCCGTTGTCCTGCAACAATCGTCCCATGCCCCACTAGCTGCCTACACAGTCCAAGAGAGCGTCTCAGTGCTATCTTACTCTTACCTCCGACAACCATCTTCACCCAACATGCGATTCTCGTGGATCAATAGCGATTTGATACCAAGCTGTTTAATTTCTGTCTGTGTTGACCATTTGGTTCCTGCCCTGAAATATCCGATCATTTGAGAATGAGCGCATATTCCATATTCGTCATAACCCGTCCTGACATAGCTACCTCGCGCTTCGAGAGATCATCCGTTTCGATGGGCCATATGAACCTCTCACCTATACTCAAGATATTCTCCAACCTTGCAACAGCCTCTAAACACGGTATAAACACCCTTCAATGCTCTTGCGCCCCCCCACCAATGCCGGCCGCTATCTTGGCAAACACCTTATGACAAACGAAAAAATCACCCCAACCCCTATCCTATGACTGTATTGTCTAGCTCTAGTAGCACAACATCTAACCGGATATATACGAGCAGGTATATACTCAAACACACGGGTGGATTCATCCGCCACCCTTCGGTCGTCACCCTTCGATCGTCACACTCGTGGGGCGGCTTTTAGCTGGGAACAAGCTCATCGTCCTCCAGCGCGCTCTGTCGCGCATGGTTTGACCCGCGGTCCGGGTCAGCATTTGACCCTGGCACTTCATCCTCGGTCATGTACACTACAAAAGATTAGCACAATCCCCATCCCATACACCACAAAACGACTACACATACCATGAGGTCTGACGAAAAACGACGCCAGTGTTGCCACCATGAAGATGCTCGCGAGAAGTACGAAAAACGCTTGGGGAAACGTCGACACAGTAAGGGCAAAAAGCCCGTTAAAAAGCATGGGCGCAACAACCCTCGCCAGCGAGTGCAGCAACCCAATCGCCCCGAGCAGCTGCCCAACCTGCTCAGCCGGCACATGTTTGCTCAGCGACGCCTGAATCGTTGCCGACCCGAGTCCTCCAAACGCCGCGATGATAGCGCAGAGGACGAAGAGCGGGCTCGTGCGCACAAAGATGTAGCCGATCATGCCGACGACGTCTGACATGAGGGCCGTTCTCATAATCCAGACATCGAGATCGTCGGCACCCGCGTTCTTCTCAACTAGCGCCACGCCTGATTCACGCCTCCGGCGTGCTGCCGGACGCGTGCGGAATATGTAGTTGATGACGGGGAAGATGCCCATGAGGACAAAGACGCGAACCGTCGAGACTAACGAGAGGAAGCGCGAGCTCTCAAAGTTGCCCCAGTGGAAAACCTTCTCCGTGTATAAAATGATCACCGTACCGGAGCTCATGCCCGCCCCCAGGATGGCTGTATCGATCAAGGCCAGCACCAGCAGGTTTCGTCTCAGGCGCTTAGTGCCGGGGCCCTTGGGGAATAAAATAGTAAGGGGTGCAAGGGGATTCGCCGTCCTGACAGAATGTATCACTTTGCCAAGGTACTTGCCGCCTGGAATGCCTGATGGGGACCATTCAGGGGCGGGGGCAAGGGCCGCTTGCTCGGTAGCGTGTTTCTCGCGCGCGATGAGCTGTCGCTTCCTCGACAGGGACTCGGGTGTCACAAAGAGCATGACGAAGATGAAAAAGATGTGGCAGCCGAGGGTCACGTAGAAGATGGACAAAAGTGAGCCGGTCCATTCTACAAAGTATCCCGCGAGGAGTGGGCCGAAGGCAAGGCTGGTGAAAAGGCAGGAGTGGAGATATCCAATGGCAACGGAGCGCTTCGATGGTGGTGTGCAATCGGCCGCATAGGCGTGGCTCAAGACAGTGCCAGCAGTGAAAGAGCCGGTAAGACCGTCAAAAAATGCCCCGAAGATGAGCCAGTTGTAGTGGATGGACTCGGGATAAGTAGCAGCCGCGATGGTGATAATCTCGCTCACAACGCCGCCAGCGGAGCAGAGGGCCATCATGTGTTTGCGTCCGTACCGGTCCGAGAGAGCGCCGAGCTTCGGCGCGCTGAGGGAGCTCAGTATGCCGATCAGAATGTTGAGCACCATGGTGAAGGCGGCCACCAAACGCAGCACTTCGGGGGTTTCAGTACACTGCGGATTATTGCCACCGGGGATGACGGGCTGGAAAGCGAAGGCGGGATCGGCAGCCGACCTATCGGTAAAGTACCGTTTGCAGATGAGGGCGATAATGCTGGCACACGCTGGGTATCAGCAACGCAAAGATAGCATCAGAGTCACTCGCTCCTAGGGCTGGGAATGAGCCAGGCTGGCCGTACAGATTCAGCTTCGGCACCATCGAGCCTCCCAGGGCCAACGTAAAAAGGGCATATGGAAACAGAAGCCACCAGACCTGCCACGCACACACATAACAGTGTTAGCTCTTCGGAATCCAGCAGTGGTATCCATGAGGGTGAACGGCCGCTGCCAGACGTACAGATGGCTTATTCCACCACGGCACTCCTTCAAAGTCCGCATAGCCTGCCCAGCTATCTTTCCTTGGGTGACCGTCGTGTGCCCCTCCATTGGCATCTTCAGAGTCCGCACCCAACAGAGTAGTTATCTCCGAAGCATCCACCACAGTCCTGTCGTGCGACGACTCGTTCCACGAGACCCCCGGCGCACCAGGCCTCTGCCTAACGTCCGTCATCGTATCGCAATCGGCAGTCGCGTGTGTAACCCGTGCGGTTCGGGATGGTCCTCGGGAACCCGGTGGTCCGTGAATACAGTTCGCCGCTGCTCGAACGTCGACACCGAAATAAAAGTTGTAAACAGAAAAGAATTAGACTATTTTTTTGAGTCCATTGATGACTTGCGACATGGGGCTACCAAAAAGGTGCTGTGCTCGGATATGCGATTCCCGGTCCGCCCAACAACGCGGATTGCTGTAAGCTTTTAGGCGTCTCAGGGGCCGGGGCCGGTGCTTGGAAAACCCTTTTGGTCAATGATCGCGTGGACATGGGACAAGTTTAAAGGAGACGATGACGGCAAAGCAGCAAGTATGAGAAGCTTATACTAGGCAAAGATGAGGCAGAAAGTTGGACATGTCAAAGAGGAAGGAGGCGGGGAGGGAGGCCTGGAGTTTGGGGGGGGGGGGGAGGTGAACATCGATGTCATTCTAAGCTATGCTTCAGATAAGATATATGGGGGGGGGGGGTGGTGTATTATTAATGTGGGGATGTTAGCTCACTGGCGCAATGGAGGTCAAGATGATACCACGATATGCCCCTTCGAGATAAGCGCACAAAGTCAACATTGGGATGGAGGAAGGCGCAAGCCTGTCTTTCCTATTCGCAAGCGGACAAAGCCACTCCTGCGAAGCCCGCCGCGAAGAGTAAAATCGCTCCCGAGGTCCTGCGCCAGCAGCGCCCCAACAAGAGTCCGAGTCGTGAGCGAGCGGCGTTGAAGACCGTTATCCGCATATCCGTCCCAATGGCACTAGTCCAGCGCATAAGGACGAAACTCGCCCCAGTGACAAATTGATCTGTTGCACGGATCTGTACACCCGTCACCCGTCAGGGCTGGCAAGCGGGTTCCCATGGTGTACCTTTGCGCCAGGGACCAGGGACACAACGAATCGATGACGCAAACCCACCTAAGCCGCCCAACCAACCAAGCCACGTACCTGCCCAAAATCGATAGTGTAAGGGCGGATCCTTCAGTTGGGCGCGCATCCTCCCGACCAGACACGTGGTGAGCGAAAATCTCTTGCCCTTCTTGCAGCATGACTACGGCCCTGAAATTGAAGCCGGTCAATTGCCGCTCAAGCCAGTACTTCTTAGGTCTTTTTCTTTTGCCCTTTGTATTGAGTAAGGGGTATTGTCAGTGCATTGTTTGTTACATTGCAAAATGTTGGTGCAATGCAATAAAAAAAGGGAAGACATTTCGCTCACCATGTGCCAGACCAGCAGTTCGTGGCCCACCAACGTTTAACACGTGGACCGTACCAAAGGGTTTAGATGATCAGCGTCGTATCTACACTTGCCAAGCCGCGGGTTATAGTGTAGACA